ATGCTGATGTAATGGTCTATTTATAGACAGTGTGAGTATATATAGGGGAGTTGTTCAGCACTGAGATCAGATCGAAGATCTCGTTGAATTGTATTGGAGTTCAAATATCTAGTCATTGGAGTAGTGGAGTTTTACCGCGTTATTGTACTTGATGTTTGCAGAGTATAATAATACCAGTACCAGTTGAAACCTCATCTGTTGGCTCCGTGTTCGTATTTTATCATCGCCGCCAGGGAAGTCTTTTGTTACTGTTGCCATTTTGGTATTTGAACCATCACACCTGTACTATACCAATTACGGTAATATTACATTGCGTGTGACACATATATAACCTGGTTGGCAATGTCGCCAATTTTCACCACAAACCACGCCGCCATGTTTGCCTAGTAGTCTCAAGCAACATGCAGAGAGGTCAATACCCGAGATTCACCGTCAACCAACACGCATAAAGTATAGAACTGCGCGAGACTTCTGTACTTTGATCATGATACTCCCATGAAAATGCAACTTGGATTTGTTAGGCGGCGGGTGGAAAAAAAATAAAGATAAACATATTTTTTTTACCAATTTTTTGCACTCACAAGTCGGCGGGCGCGAGAAAATACCCGGAAATAAACTTTCATTTTTATTTCATTTTCGGCTTCTGTCCATTCGGCGGGTTCGCGAAGCAAGGAATAATAAAAGTCTGGCCTTATGTATAAGAGATACACTTGAAATAATGAGAGAAAATGTTATAATACATTTGTTCCTTTAAGTACAGGATTGTAATGACTGTCATCAAATTCAGGTCTCATAAATGCATGCCCACATACATGTACATGTATTTTTAAATTGCAGATAATACTGGTGATTAAACCTTTCATACATAATTAATTTAAACACTAAGCCATAACATACGAGTTTCTTGTTCATAAGACTTTAACAAAGTAAATGCCAATATTCTATAGACAATTAATAAACAGGTTAAGACATGCATGTTAAAAGCCATATAAAAAATTATGTTTCACTTCCTGTTTTTTATGAACATTTCATCACTATTTATGCTTCATTTGAATTTTGGACCAACAACAATTAAAATAAAATTATGACAAAATAAAAACACATACCTATCCTATTTTTCCTTTCAATATTACCAGAAACACATTATTTATTTTGTTTGGCCTACCGGTAATTAGTTATTTTTAAAACATGAATATCACAGTGATTCCCTTGTGTTGAACGGGAAAGTCATGTTGAGTTGAGAAAGATGCATTATTGGTATGTCAAGAAAAATTAGTCATTTCTATTCAGATAAGGCACGAGATTAATTGTATTTTGTATCTACCTGGTTGGTTGGGCGGAGTCGCAGTCTGATATTATACACAGGTGGATGAAAA